TTGGGAGGCCGAGGCAGGTAGATCGCTTGAGGTCAGGAGTTCAAGAGCAACCTGACCAACATGGTGAAACCCCGTCTCTACAAAAAAAAAAGTACAAAATTACCCAGATGTGGTGGTACACCTTGAGAGGCTGAGGCAGGAGAATCACTTGAGTCTGCCTGTAATCCCAGCTACTTGGGAGCTGAGGCAGGAGAATCGCTTGAACCTGGGAGGTGGAGGTTGCAGTGAACCCAAGATCATGCCATTGCACTTCAGCCTGGGCAACAAACAAAACACCATCTCAAAAAAATAAAATAAAATACAGAAAGCTGCTCTTGTAGGTAAAAATACCAAATTAGATGGAAATCAGTTTATTGATGAGATCAAATAGAAAAGTGTTGGAGACTCTTAAAACACAGAAAAATCAACTAACCAAGCAACTTAAATGATGGTATTAGATGTTGAGTCTGGATCTTGATCTTCTGTTGAAATGTGTGACTGAAGCAGCAGAGTAATATTACTTCATGTTGGAGAAAATGCAAGCTAGTACTTTTTTGCCCTTTAAAAGTTGACTTCTATGATTATTTATAGTTGAAAATATAGGTACTATAAAAATTTCTCTATTTTGTAGACAGAAGATGTCAAAATATAGCCACAAATTGTGGCTATATATGCACTTTTTTGTGCAATATGACATTGCCTATCCTCCCATTAAAAGGTGGAGTCTTTTTCTCTTTCCTTCTATCCCCTTGCATTTGTGCTGGCTTTGTGACTTGGCTGTAACTGATAGAATATGGTGGAAATTTTGTTGTGGAACTTCTGAGCTTTGGCTACAAGAGGCCTTGCAACTTCTGTCCTTGCATTTTTGGAATACTGCCACCAACATTTAAATAAACTCAGACTGGTCTTTCTAAGGATGAGAAATCACATGAAGATGGAAGTCTAACCAACAGTCAGGACACAAACTGTCATTGACAGGCCATCTTAGACCATCTGTATTAGTCCATTTTCATGCTGCTGTTAAAGACATACCCAGACTAGGCATTTTACAAAAGAAAGAGGCTTAATTGGACTTACAGTTCCATGTGGCTGGGGCCTTCACAATCGTGGTGGAAGGCAAGGAGGAGCAAGTTACCTCTTACATGGATGGCAGCAGGCAAAAAGAGAGAGAGAGAGCTTGTACGGGGGAACTCCTCTTTTTAAAACCATCAGATCCTGGGAGACTTATTCACTGTAGTGAGAACAGCACAGAAAAGACCTGCCCCCGTGATTCAATTACCTCCCATCAGGTCCCTCCCACAACACGTGGGAATTCCAGATGAGATTTGGGTGGGGACACAGCCAAACCATATCACCATCCAGTCTTAGTCAAGCCTTCAGATTGCTGCAGTCCTTGGTAGTAAAACTAGCAGAACTGCTTAGCAAAGCACAGTTCAAATAGCTGGTCCACAGAGTTGTGAACAAGTAAGAGTTGTGTTTTTAAAGCTACTAAATTTTGGTGTGGTTTGTTATACAGCAATGAATGACTAAGACACTGACTTTGTAGCTGCCCTGTGTGGTAAATTTTAAGTCAGACTAAGAGTTTTTCATTCATTAACTTATTTAATTATCACATTATATGACATAGGTTTCATTATGCCCTGTTTTACAGATAAAACAAAATGGAGCACAGAGAGGTAGAGTGTCTTGCTGAAGATCACAGATAGCAAGTGCAGAGCCAAGATTGAATGCAGATCTGTCTAACCTCAAAGCTCCTGCTATTTCCTAGCCATCAAACTGCCTGTAACACCTTATTCTGAATTTAAAAATACGATTGGTTGCAACAAGCAGTTAAACTTACCTGGGAGTCTCTGAAATACAAGTGCTAGCTAATAACATTACAATAAAATAAGTATTAAATAAAATAAATATTATAATAAAACAACATCCGTTTGCAGTTTCCAGTACTGCTATTTAATCTTGAGTATTCATTTAGTGAATGCAAGGAGAAAAAGTTACCTCTTCTGGTCTCATAAGGGCCCAAGTCTGAAAGGGAGAATGTGAAAACAAAATTTAAAATATATAAATATAAGCCCTTGACTTTATATACATTAAAGATAGTTTTGGTATTTCACAGTATTAAATATCTGTATTATTTTCTCCTCTGTTGTCAAGTTATGGAGAAATGGAGAGGGCAAAGAAGACTCTTCCTTAGAATAATTGTGACTGTGGCTTAATCACCACTATATTTTTGTCTTCGACATCTTTGTCTTCTAATAAAAAGTCTTATAATGCTGAGTGCAGTGGCTCATGCCTGTAATCCCAACACTTTGGGAGGCCAAGGCAGGTGGATCACTTGAGGTCAGGAGTTTGAGATGAGCCTGGCCAACATTGTGAAACCCTGTCTCTACTGAACAAAAATTAGCTGGGCATGGTAGCAATGCCTATAGTCCCAGCTACTCGGGAGACTGAGGCAGGAGAATTGCTTGAACCTGGGAGGTGGAGGTTGCAGTGATATGAGATGGCACCATTGTACTCCAGCCCGGGAGATAGAGCGAGACTCTTGTCTCAGAAAAAGGAAAAAAGAAGTCTTACAATAACATAATTTTCTACGGTATACAGGTAATAATGGTACTAATATCTACGAAAAAACTTCACATATAGAAATGGGAATCTTCATTTTTGAAATTCTTTTAACTAATACATAAATGACAATACATCCATAAACTAGTTAGTAGGTGATTCTGACATATATGTATCTTAAATACCCATTTACCATAGCGACACACTAATCAGACCTGCTTCAGGATTTTATTGCTTGTTAAATATTAATGCCTGGGAGCATTTTCTCTGTGATTTATTTTTGTATTTTGAGAGCTATTTTCATTTAGGAAATACGATTTCCATTTGTTTTCCTTTTAACTTGAATTTAAACTGAACTCCCATTTTTGCTTTCGACATAATCTTTTTTCATTAATAAATTACCAATGATTTTAATATTTTATTGTATTATGCACACATGCACATGAATATATTGCTATGTGTGAATATATATTGGAGAATCTTATTTTAGGTTTGCGGAAAGAAGGGAGAGGGTTATACTTTTTTTCTTTTAGTTTTAATTTACACTCAGATGGATTATAAATTTTTTAGAATGTTACATTGATAACAGCACGGGAGTTACAATTATAGCCAGGAATTGTGACTTTCCACAGTCTTGGGCTCCTAACCAGAAACTCAATAAATGCATGCCGATTGATTGATTGGATGGCAATCAAACCTAGTGAATATAAGCCTATGTTCAAGGTAAGATAAAAGAAAATTGACCTACTCAAGTTGAACAAGAAATAGAGCAAGTCAAAATAAGTCAGTAAAAATCTTCAAGTTTATTTAGTGGGGGTAGACATAGCCCTTAAAAATACTCTGTAAGGCCGGGCGCGGTGGCTCAAGCCTGTAATCCCAGCACTTTGGGAGGCCGAGGCGGGTGGATCACGAGGTCAAGAGATCGAGACCATCCTGGTCAACATGGTGAAACCCCGTCTCTACTAAAAATACAAAACATTAGCTGGGCATGGTGGCACGTGCCTGTAATCCCAGCTACTCAGGAGGCTGAGGCAGGAGAATTGCCTGAACCCAGGAAACGGAGGTTGCGGTGAGCCGAGATCGCGCCATTGCACTCCAGCCTGGGTAACGAGAGCGAGACTCCGTCTCAAAAAAAAAAAAAAAAAACAACAAACAAACAAAAAAAACAACTCCGTAAATGTAATGGAAGAGTTAAACAGTTAGCACTCACTGAATTCGCTAACATAGAATGGTGGCTTATGTGTGAGGTACGTGGATTCAGTTTTAGTCCAACTGACAACATGTTAACCTTGCTAGATTAAAAAAAAACTAAATACAGGAGAATAAAAATGCTAGAGAAACATAATATTCTTGTGGCAACAGTTTATTTGGAAAGAGATGACAAAAATATGTCAAGACAATGCCCTGGCTTTCTTCATTAAATTTAGTAAATACCTTTGAAGAAAACTAAAACAACAGTTGTTTTCTATAACATTTCTTTCTGCAGATTAATAGACATCTATGGGATGACTATCTTTGAGGAAATATATATTACTTACATAGAGTTAATATTTTGGCTATTATGATCTTGTTGGAATTAGAAACTTACAGTAATTTATATCCTTAAATAGATGTCTATCTTTTTTTTATTTCCAAGATTTTTCTCACAAGTTTATTCTCAGTATGGAGACATCATTATGTTATAGAGGAGCTTTTTTGTGTGATGGCTCTTGGCAGCCATCCATCTCTAAGTAGGACATAACAGTGAAGCTTGTTAGAGGCGGAGAAGTGTAAAGTATTACCAGGCAGGCCCTGACAGACATTTAGACATTCACACAGACATTGTTGCTACTTGATGGCCATCTTCCATTGTGAAAAATGTAGCTGTTTAAAAATGGACAAGGTCACAATAACTTTACAATGCTACACTCCTGTTGTTTATGGCATGCACATATATTTTACTCCTGATTCTTTCCCCAGTGACAGTGTTTTTCTTATGTTTAATTTGAATGGTTTTATTTATCTTTACTAACTTGCCACTCTTAGTTGTACACTATATTTTAGTCCTCTAAATAGGCTATCTGCACATTGCACTTGGTAAAGCATTTAGAATTTGTGATGATCCACACTCGTTGTCTTGGGGGTATGCATAGGAGAGAACATAGAATAGTAATACAGAGTGGTAGGAAATCCTAAATCATAGCTCTCTAACTGTGTTTTATTAATGCTTATATTAGCATTGATTTCACTTCAGCTGGATGTTAGGAGGATGATATCCTATAAGCATTTAGGTGGAGCAGACTGCCTAGGATTCCACCTGGGCAGATTAATCTTGAAAACAGTTAATCCTTAGGCTGTTGATAGAAAGTCTACATATGTGTTATTTCAAACCTTCTATTAAAGCAGTCATTTGAAATGTGCCAATTATACATGTATGAAAATTTCAGAATATACAAAAATATATATTCTGTACATCCGTAATGAGCTGCAGTCACTCTTTAGATTATCACATTTGTAAGCTAGACCCGTTTGAAAGAAGGATCTCCAATCTTATTGCAAAAGTAATTTTCTCAGTGAGATCGCTCTTACCCTTCCCCTCTCTTTGTTAAATTTCAAGAGAGTAGGTATATCCAACTGGGTTGTTTCATTTTAAATATGTATATGTGAAACTTACTTCCAAAGACTGCAAAGTAGGAAAATCAACAACTTTTGACTTTCTATTTTAAGGGCAGCTGGAGTAAATTTTTGTTCAATTTTTATTTAATTTGCTGTGACTACTTTTGACATTCACAAATTATGTCATTCACTTTGACATGCAAATAGGAAAATGAATAACTTTGGGATTCAGATTTGAAGAGCTCCTCACAGGTGCTTAGACATGTTGCCTCCCATCTCCTCATTCCTCCTTTCCTCAGGAGCAATGATATGATCTCTAAAAGAGATGTAGTTTTTCCACTAGCTTTTGTAAAAGGCATCTTTCTTTCTCTTTACTGTTTTTGTCACTGTAGTCTCTTATGACATTTTCTTGGGTAATTTATTTCCCCTTTAATATGGATCTTCCCTTTCTTAAATCTGTAGAATATTTTCTTTTTTTGTTGTCAGTGTCACTGATGACATTTTCATCTGATTCTTGACATATTCATTTTATAAAACATGGCTTTGTAAGGAGTTTTTTGGTCACTGACATTTTGGCAAACACTTGCCAGTGGCCACCAGAGAAGGTCAGTTAGATTCAAAGCAATGACATAAATTATCCTGAAAGGCTTCTTCAAATACCTGTGAATAGAGCTTATAGTGGGAGCTAGGAGACTGAGGTCCTTTATGTTTTTGTTTTTGTCCCAAACTTTTTATCATTGGGTCATTCACTATATAACCTTGCTAAACTTATTTAAGTTCTCTTTTATGCTTGGGGTAATGGGAACCCACCTTAGTGAAATGTTTGGAGGCTTAACCATGTTTCAAAAGCACCTTGAGCATGAATCATTAGTTCATTATTAGAATGGTGGCTTGGGTGGTACCATCAATCATCAATGCTTTATCACCATCTTAGCCTCATGGTTTTCTGCAAATTGACAGTGAAGGTCTTAAATCAAACTTTGTAAAGACACTAGCAGATTCTTGAAGGTTACTTATTGCTTATGGTATGGTAGCACTGAAGTGTGCACAATTATCTGAGGAATATAAGACAATTATAGTATACTCATTGTATTCTGTGTTTTCAGATTAAATGGGCAAAGTGTATTCAAATTCATAAGTAGAGATGAAAATAAACAGTGATTTCTCTTATGTTTTATGCTATCATAAAATAAGATCCCTTAGTATATAGCTATTTTGTATTTTTGTGAAATATTTTTCATTTTGATTTTTCATCCAAATGTATTTTAATGAGTTACATTTTAAAAGATATATTTTAGCATTATCTGCACATACACACATGATGGATTAATAAGCGATTAAGTGAAATTCGAAATATTCCAGGAAGCATAGCTTTTAATTTATAATTTCTAGCTCAGTTGAGAAAATGATCTAGTGACTGAAAATTAACTATTTGATTGTTTATGTATAATTTTGAGCTTGATGTATTTCAGGAATCAGGATCTGATTGGAAGTAGTGTCAAAGGTCAGCTAATTTAGCCTTCTACCAACAAGCTCTTGGCTGTTTATCTATTGCATACAGCTCATTGTTTTTTATTTCTCATCTTGTTACCGTGTTTTCTTCATATACCATTTGGGTCCACTTTGTTAACATATCAAATCACACTCTATCTGACACTCAAAATGTTTCTTGCAACTAAAAGATCAGCACTTTCTTAGAGCATTTTTTAAATCAGGTTATTCATTATCAGTTTTTTAAAAAGACTGTAACACATCCCCTTAACTTTGTAGCTTAGAAACATCTACGAGAAATTAAAAAATACAGAGGTGTCTCCCTGGAGCGTGTGTTTTGCAGGAGCAGAGCAGGGAGGGCACAGTGGACTGCCAAAGGGCACACTGCTAGAGGTAAGACACTGGCAGGTGCCGATTTTCCTTTGCTCGGGTCTTGCTCTGTTTTTCCAGGCCCGTGGCTTGCAGGTTTATTAAAATGCTAATGCTATTTATTCCATTTTTATTGGCAGCTCTCCAGATTTGCTTATTGATGTATCTGAATTACAGTGGAATGCAACAACAAAGTCTCACTTGACTCTTTCCTTAGATTTTTGTCAGTGGAAATATATATACCTCAGTGTGAGATAGATCATATGTACGTTTTAATCTGTATGAAAGTGAAATGTTGTAAGGGAACTGTCAACTGCTTGAAAATGAGCTTTTAGTGGGATAGTGAGGTGTCTCACATGGGCTTCTTCCTTAGGTTAGTATATTATTTCACTCCCTGAAGAATAATCATATTTTCCAGAACAAGCACTCAAGTATATTTGTGGATTTCCTTTGTTGTTTCCATTTTCTGTGCTTTGATATTTCACTTCTTATGCAAACTGACTAAAGTGTAGGTTAATAAACTGCAGAGTAATCCACTTGTGACTTGTAGAAGATGGAGGAATTTTCATGTTCCTACATGTCTTTCTGAAATTTTTAACCACAGACACTCAGAATTGTAAAGAACTTCTGAGCAGTACAACCCATCTAACACCTATATTTTGCTATTTTGAAACTGAAGCTAAAGGATAATCGTGACCTGTCCAGGTTCATGCAGCTGGTTAGTGATGAAGGTGAAGCCTGAATGCTGCTTTGCATTAATTGTGAGGCTGTTATATCCCACTATGCTCAGCTACTCCCTTGCCTTTCTTTATTAGAAATTTGTCACCAACACTTGTTTTTTTTTCATGGTGTAGAATTGACTGTGGTCTCTAGATTGTAGACTCTTGTATTTCTTTTATATTCCTTTGAGTGGAAAATAGCATACAAATAGTTGATTTTTAGTAAATATTTTTTAAAAGAAAATCAAGACTACCTAATATCCTACTGTTCAGAGATTTTCACTGTTTACATTTGGTGATCATCTTTTCAGTTATGTGCATATCCGTGTGTAAATTACCCACTTCCTTCTGCAATTACACTGTTCGTAATATTTTACAATTTGCGTCTGTCACTCAACTTCTTTTTGTTTTAATAAATATAGACCTATGTCACCATTTCTAATAGGTTAGTGGTAAGATTTAGCACAGTGTATTTAACCAATCTCTTATTAATAGACATTCTAACTGGTTCCAATTTTTACTCCTATAAATAACTGTATGATAAACATTCTTATACATATGTCTTTGTATACTTTTTTGTTGTCTACTTAGGAATAATTTCTTGAAATGGAATTTCTATGTCTGTGTCTGTTTCTCCATACCTATGCCAATTGTGGATGCTACCATGAACTATTTTGGAGTATTTAAAAATGGCTTTAAGGTTTAAGAAGTGACAAAACTTGGAATAAGTTATTTAGGCAGAAGCATATTTTTCATTAAGGGGCAGAATACGGTAGTAGGTATGAGCATCAGCTCTGGAGGCAGACCATCTGGAACTGAATCCTGGCTCTGCCACTTTTTACCTGCTTGCCATTGGGCAAGTTACTTAACCTCCCTGTTTCTCATTTTCTCGTCTGTACAATGGGGACAGCAGTGGTACTTATTTCATAAACTTATTGTGTGATTTAAATTTATTGTGTGATTATATATGTGAAGTACTTAGAATAGTTCCTGGCACATAGTTGACTACTCAATACATATCAGTTATAATAATAATTATTATCAGTCAGTGAGTATTTGATTTCTGCCTACAATTTATAGTACATGATGTTGGAATGTGGAATTTGAAAAGAAATGTGAGAAATTACCACAGCATTAAAAAAAAAAAAAAAAAACCCTACCAAAAACTGGAGGAAATAAGATGTTAAGTAAATGAAAGTTGCATAATTAGGTTAAATAAAGCAGAACTACAGCCTAAGAAGAGGCTTGGACTAAGACGTAGTTAATTACCAAATGAGTGATATATTCATGAAATACGGTCCTCTTATAATACTTGGAAGGACAAAAATGAAGCTTGTTCTACTTTTTTATTCTAACAGGAACAAACCTTCTGATTTAGAGTGGTCATGTGTCTCACTTGGTGCAGCACAGTCCTGGTTTGTATGGCTTAATGTCATGGTTGGATAATTAATTAATTATATGCTTATTCTATTTCCTGTTGATATCTTCTTTCTGTCAGTGTCATTGTGATGTCGATTCTTGCTTAGGCCTGAGAACTATTTTGATTACTAAGGCATCTTAGTAATTTGTTCTCTTTTGGAGTTATTTTATAGTTTGATTTAGAGACAATCCAATTTCAGGTGCTCAGAGAAAAGCTCATACTTGCTTATCATGTACTGCTTATAAATGTCAGGAGAGAAAATCTAGAAAAATAGTTTATTGTCAAGTTTTAGATGATCTAGCATGTTGCATTAAGATAACCAATGAAGATTTTTTTTTTCTGAGATTAAAGAGAGCAATATTTTAGGCAATTAGGTGGAAAGTTTTAAAACTATAAGTAAAACAAATCCAGTGTTTCTTGGACTTCTGACATACAATTTTGCACGCAAGTTTGCATGTAATGCTAAACATGTTTTGACCAATGTGTAGTTCTCTGTATCTTCAATACAGATTTTAAAAAATATTTTAATGTCCTGCATTGTCGACATCTTAGCCCATTTTCCTATATTTGATTGTCAGTTGAACCTTCTTATTTTCTTGCCTTTGGAGTCACAATAATACATTTAAAGGATTGAGAGTTTAGTCTTTGAATTATGAATAAATGATAAGGAGAATGTAAAGGAATAGAGGTTGACTCTGACATGGTCCCTGGCAAAAATGAAACATTTTAGCCTCTTTCATTATGACTATCTTCTAATTAGATATTATCAAATGTGAGAGGAAAATGCTTGTCACATTTGGATTTATTATGTAGGAAATTTATGCTCTGAATCATAATGGGACTAGATGACTTTTTTTCTGATCTTGTTAAGAATATGGTAAGAGTTTGATCCAATACAATTTGTATTTCTTAAAAAATCCCTTTTTATATGTTAGGCACTGTGCTTTGTACTGTTGATACATAGTTGAATCAGAAATGGGTTCTACTCTGAGGGGTTAATAAGGCCTGTGGATGGCTACTTAGGATTTCAGAAACGTCTGCACATCAGTACAGAGTGATACCAGTAACCACTAACACTTCTATAGCACTGACTCTGACAGTTACTTTTCCAAGTGTTTTATATATATTAAATTTCTAATAACCCTGTGAGGTGTTACTGTTATTGTGCTCAGTTTTCAAATGAGAGAACCAAGGCACAAGAGATTAAATAACTTGCTCAATGTTGTATAGGTAGAAAACTATTTTCTATTCCAAGTGAACTATTTTGAGAAGCATTATTCACATGTCACTGTTTTGTGTCTTATAAGTATAGTTGCTTATGTATTTCAAGAATGAATATGTAGAAATTACTGAATATAATTCATCCATTCATTTACCAGATTTTTGTATGTATGTTTGTTTGTTTTTGGGACAGAGTCTCGCTCTGTCACCCAGGCTGTAGTGCAGTGCCTTACCTCACTGTAACCTTGAACTTGTGGGACTACAGGTGCACATCACCATGCCTAGCTAATTTTTACATTTTTTATAAAGGTAGAGTCTCAGTGTCTTACTCAGGCTGGTCTCAAATACCTGGTCTCAAGTAGTCCTCCCGCCTCTGCTCACAAAGTGCTGGGATTATAGGCATGAGCCACTGCACCCAACCCCAGGTGTTTATTGAGCTCCTACCTTGATCCTACATTTGGAATAAAGCAGTGAGTGGAACATTCGGGTTTCCTACCTTCGCATAGTTTAAAATTCAGCATTAATTTGCCACAGAATTTATAATTTAGCAATATTTGCCTCACAGAATTTATAATTCAACAATAATTATATAATGCTTTTGCTACTTTACATTTTCATAATTTTTATTTACCACTTTTAACTCTGCTGAGCATGCTCTGAAACCTTACTTGCTGTTCCTGTAATTAATGGTTTCCAATTTGCATGTGTGGACAGTTTTTAATTACTGTATATTGTACTTTTCTATAAGCTAGATTTTCACACATTGTACAATAAATTCCTTAATCTGCCTTTTATATGTCTAGTATCATTGCACTTGCTGATGAAACATGGTCCCTGGCTTTCACTTAGGTTTTCTAACTTAATTATGAACTACTAACAGGGATATCGTATTTAACTAAAAATCCTATTGCAATCAAATTTCTTTATATATGTAGAGAAAATGAATATGCTTTTATTATCATAATGAGAAAGTAATTTTGGACCCTGAGTTGATTGATTATTGTCCAGTGGTGTGAATGCCTGCTGGTTATTGCAGCTGATGAGGAAGCTCTAACCTTTGTGGAGGTCTTGGGATGCAAATGGGTAGCAATTTGTGAAAAGAATCAACTTACTAGTTGAATTTGTGGGCTATTTATGTATTTATTTATTCCCAAGATGCTACAGTTTTCTGTCCAGGGACTCTCTAAACATGTTACTATTTATGCATAATCTTGGATGTTAAAAAATAAATTCCCTTCCCCTACCTCTCCTCCAGGGACGTAGTATTTCCCAGTGTGGAGGCTTAAAGGCTTGGGGACTAGATGACCTTCTCAGAGGCCCAAAAGGAGGGTGAAGAAAAGCATTCTTGTTCTCAGCAAGGAAATGGTTAAGGAAATGGCTCCCTTCACAGACTCAGCCATAAGTCGTCTGGGCTGTCTGGCAGCTAACTGTCCAACAAGGCCCTTGTCAAGACTCTTATCTCCCCACAGAATTATGTGGGGCCCGAAAAAGGCGCATGGCTGTGGACCACAGTTTGTAGTTTTAAATCATTATTATTTTTAGATCTTTGGGAGTAAACTTCTCTCTTCTCTAGTCCTTTCTCCAACTGTCCTAAATAATATCTGAATTCACTTTGTGACTTTCAAGCCTGTTTTTAGGTCTAGTTTTTGTCCTCAGAGTGGCTG